TCCCGTTTCTCCCTTGGCTCCTGTTTCTCCCTTAACACCTGGAACGCCTGGCGGTCCCGTTTCTCCCTTGGCTCCTGTATCACCCTTTATTCCCTGTATTCCTTGACTACCATTGTAACCACGTGGTCCTATTGGTCCTTCCATCTTAGATACAGCATCAACCTCGAAAGAAAACAAGCAGTGACTTAGTATGAAGTGTTGGTAATAACATTGATCTGCAATTGGACAAAACGTGTTGGAACTTTTGTTTGTATTGGCTTGTTCATCAAAACGTTTTATCCTCTGTCCTTTCGTCAATATATTTCCTGTTTAAAAGTCTTTTCCCCTTTTATGTTGTAATTAACTGGGTAGTTGACCGTTTACTATCTCCACGTTCACAACACTGTATGAGGGGGATGGCGTGCTTTGAGATTAGAGTGGCAAATGGGCAATAGCACCAACATTAATCCTATAGTTCTAGACCTTATTCGCACGACGACAGAAATCGTTATACAGCCATACGTACCCGTTTTCAGACATATACTTTGTCAAGGGCATTTTTAAAGAATGGACGTAATCCATCATCATCACAAAAGAGTGGTAAATTTCTGTTATCGTGTGGATGTTGACATCCTACCTTTACAATCAATGTGGTGTTCACATTCATGCATTTATCAATGGTGTTATTAATGCTCTTTTGTAGTTTTTCTTCAAGTGCATTGTCGTCGATCTTGCTCATGTTCTTGATTTGGTCGACTTGTTTTTGAAGGTTTTCAATCTGTTGTTTCAGCTCTTGGTTGGAAAGACCAAATCCAACTTGATGGTTTTTGGCTAAAAAATAAGTTAACAATTAATAACTAATAATGCTATTATTTTCTAATATTTCAACTAATAATATTTTCATTAACTAATTATTCGTGCTTGTTACACAGTGATGGAAAAAGGTACCGGTAAGCTTTAATTTTCATTTTTTTAGGACGATCGATACTGACCACATATTGTTGAATACATCGATTTAGTGCGAACACTGCATCATATTAGTGTAGCTCTAACATACATGTATATTCTCGTTTAAAAGCTGATAAGAGCTGATCCATATGAAACCGAGAAGTCGCATACATTACACAAGGGAGGCTTTTCAATTTCGATTTGTTGATTTTTTTTTTGATTTTTTTTTTTACAGAGTTGATTTTGAATAATAACAGGGTGAATCCATCGATTTTTCTCAAATTTAAAAACCTTAATAAACAGATTATTGGCATTCTATGCTTGAAAAATTACACAAATCCGTCGACTTAGACCGTCGCTACAAAGGCGATTCGAAAACGCACTTGAAATACAAATAAAACATTCAAGAATAAAAATTTTCAAAACGACAGCGCGCACTTGTTTTGCTGCAGGAATTTCAAAGTGCTAGGTATTATGAAAGCCATGCATTCTCAGTTTATATATAGCAGTAAAAGCGCTTGAAATTTTGCAAAATCATCATTATAATAAAATGTTACTTTCCGATAAAACGCTTGAAATTATGAAAACTATTGCGTTCTCAAAAGAGGTTGGTCCTATGACGTTAATGGCTATTTTTGCAACTTAAAAGGTATTATTGGTTTCAATATAGCGAAGTCAAATCAAGAGATGTCCAAGTTTGCATCGAAATTTTAAGTTGTTTCTTAAACTTCTTGACTGTCTTCGGCAGATCCGACAAGTTTCTGTTCAATGCACTCTTGCATATTTTCCATAAATTCACTACAGAAGCGAGGAGGGAGAGTATTGTTGGTTCTCTTATTAAGTCACTTATTAAAAAAAACTTTTTCCTCCTTCCCTCCATTAATTGATTCTGTAGCTAATTTATGTAAAATATACAACAGAAACTTGTCGATCTGCCAAAGGACAGTTGAATATGCACGGAAAAGCAAACAATTTTGAGATCACTGTTTGAATATTAACTGGTGCTGGCCATCGCGACATCAGATTAAAGTCTTGAATACACCATCAGAAAAGGTTAATCATTCAACTATTTCATATGTAAAAGTCAGAACTATACGGGCATTTTTGATGCGGAGCGAGCGAGTTAAAAAAAGACAAATTTCTCGCTATCACGCAAGAGGAAAAAGTATTAATGACTGGTTGAATATTAGCTGATTAGACCTTGAGACCAAAGCTTCATGATATACATTATGAACTTGAAGTGATTGTTCCTTCATGAAGGACTTTCGAGCTATCAGTACAATGAAAATTGTATTCCTATTTTGATATTGACGTCGTTCATCTTCAATAAATTATTTGGACTATTTACAATACAATCCAGATCATTCCAGGTGACATCATTTCCAAGTTTTTCAATCGTCATTTCCATTTTAATAAGAGAAAAAGAAAAGTTAAATATTGCTCCAACTCAAGGATTAAAAATTCATTCCGATAAGAAAATATTTGCGCGCAAAGATTTTTCGTATATATATACATATATTCTTTGAGCTTGGTGCATTAGTACTTTCCAATATCTTTAAATATGTATGGATATGATCCACTTTTTGTTTACTGCTTTTAAAATGAACTATGGTCCAGCTATTTAGAAGTGTTGATGACTGGTTCAATATTAGTTGATTCATGCAGCAGGCAACATGGGGTGCACAAGAGACAGTATGCTATAATATGCTTACCTTGATTACTAGAGTCAGGATTACTGGTTTGAGGAGTAATCTTGCCCGAGTACATCAGCATTGTAAAGACCAATGCAACAACAGCAATAAGGAACAACAGAAATACTATTATTTTGAGCCCCAGTGGTATTTTTGCACCCATTTTCAAGCCACCATCGGTAACCTGTTCACTTGTTCTTACTCCGTTCTCCTCCAACACCTCACCAGCCGCTATGTGAGCAGGATCTGCCAGGTTGTTTTGAAAAACTGGGTTAGATTTGATGATGTTGTTAGGTCCAAACGTACTCATGCTTCTGGACCGATGCTGAAATGGGCGAAATAATCCACATTCACGGCGTGATGTTTTTTTTAACAGTTGACTGCGCGTTTTTACCAAGTGGAACGTGAACGTGCCATTTCATTAATAGAACACCCAAGTAGTACGTTTTTAGATTAAAACAATAGGGTGAACAATAGAAAAGCAAAGAAAATAGATTTCAAACACTAAAACCATTAAAAACTTTAATAATAACAGAAAAAAAGTTTAGAAGTTAAATTTTTTTGGGATTTTTGGGTGTGACTGCGATTTAGTATAAAAACACTTTCATGCAAACATGTTTAAAAACATATCTCTCCTACTGATGATAATTTGTTTTCAAATCGGGTTAAGTCAAAACTCATTTCTTAATTTAGCACTAGAGTTTTCACTCTAGTTTTTGCAGTATAACTTTCCATATAACGCTAAGTAGAACAGGGACTCACAGACCTGGTGTTTTTCTTACATTGACTATTAGAGGACGAGGTTTTTGTGATATCCGAAATAATAGGTCGAAGTAAGTATAATTAATCAGCGAAGGTTCGAGTCTGATCTCACTTGCCGAGAAATATCTCTCCTACTTATGAAATCTTGGTTTCAAATAGCTTAACGCATTGTTAATTTACTGAGCACTATTTGGTTGGTACTTTTTAAGAGTTTTCACTCTAAAGTTTGTACTCTTACTATAATTCAGTATGATGCTAAGTAGAACATGGACTTACAGACCCTGTGGTGTATTACAATGACAATAGTCCACTTCGCGGATAACACAGCTATTAGAAATTGAGCAAATATCGAAAAACTATTACCACCACTGGARAGAACAGTATRAAATTAGTATGTTTACCWGGTTTGAGCATGATTCGATGAAAATTCAAGGAGATAAAGCGTTTAAAATTCGGCAAAATTTACAAAGAAATGTATGGTCTGTCGGCATGAGATCGAGGTTGACCTTGACTTGTTACAACCTCGCCAAACATTTCTATGCAAAATTTAGTGTTTTTGAAGTGCCGTATCTCTTTGAATTTAAATCAGATTRTTYYYAAACTTGGCAAATTTGCTGATTTTATGACGCTCTTTCCAGTGATGTCAATGATTTACTATAACGACGTAATGTAAAATTTCGAATTATCCGTGGACTATTAGAGGACGAGGTTTTTGTGATATCCGAAATAATAGTTCGAAGCAAGTATAATCAGCCAAGGCACGAGGCTGATCTCACTTGCCGAGACCTTGATTTATTCGTATACAAAAACAGAATTCAATGATATTTTTTTATTATGCATTGTTTCAATTTGAAAAAGAACGATTTTTATTTTCCAAAGAGAATTGAATAATGTCAAGATGATATTAATACCGGGATTTTATATGAATGGATAATAAATCAGTTAAGCGCACCCGATCTACTTAACAATTAGACCTCGAGGTCGAGTGGACTACGAGCAGAAGTGCATAACCAGAAGTGTCCATCTCCCCAATAATATCGCCACCATCACAGGGAGCCCAAGCAGTGACTTTGAACCTATAATGGTTAAAAATAAAATTTTACTTAAAAAAATGGTCTACTTTTATTTTATTCAGTGTCACAATGCATTATAGATGGGTTTAAAAAAATTTCCCCTCCATGTATATATATAGTGACAAGGGAGGAGACTCCGCTCGAAATTCTCCCAAAAATGAGCCAAAAACGATCGACAAAAATCCTTTTTTCGCACCGAAATTAAATAAAAACGAAGTTTTATCTGATACAGCATATGTAAACCAACGTTTTTTACCTTATTTTGGACGAGAGGCATCGATAGAAACTCTTTTCGGGCAAAAAAATCCAAAAAAGTGTCCCCAAAAATATCCCAAACCCATCCGTGTCGATGGTTGTCTGAGGCCACTTGCGCGCGCAAAATGAAAACTTGACAAATTTGGAGACTATGGGGGGGCCACTCGGGACAGTTTCACCTGTCACGGAGCACATCGCAATTCTGCTTGCATCGGGTTCTTTTGAGTTTCTTACAGATAACTGCATACTTCAGATAACTATATTTGAAAATTTCAGAAGCGAAAACTTTCAAAATTATAACATGGACTTGTTTTTCGAAATCATACGGTATGATCTGTTAATATTTATCGACTGAACACTGCAAAAACCGAGCAGCTTTTTTCAAGAGCTTAAACTATTTCATAGGTTATTTAACTATGCTCTTTTTGTCAAAAAAACTTGATATTAAATGTCATCAGGTCTATTGTTAACTTTACGAAAAAAAACTATTA